AAGGCAGCCTCCCATATTAAACTATAAAAGATCAAAGACGTGGCGGGCGAGAATAAGAGGGTGCTGGATCTCCTAATTGGCACGGCAGGGGGCGCTAGCGGGATCACGGCTGCTCCTAGGTCCCACTCCGTGACAATATACAAACAGACTTTCTAACTGCTTTGAAATAGGAGGGCAGTTGACACTTGGGAGCCTGGAGCAGCTCTTCCAGTTACATCTGTTCCAATGTTACATCTGTATGATCTTATTGCGATACAAGTTAGCTAAATAGCTCTGAATGAAGTAAGATAAAGTTGGAGCTGTTTTGTTGTACTTGTACTATTTCAGAATTATGTGGACTAACCAGATGCATCATAACAGTTTATATCAGCATCCTTGTTATAATTGTATAATTGTTATGGTTGCGTGTACCTTGCTAGTTCTTCACTGTAGCAGAGAATAGTAAGAAAAAAGTGTCCATCTTTTCAGCAGCACCATTTTTATCTTTCTTTATCTTCCTGCTTTTACCCGTGGTAAAGCAGTAGATCCCCTGATTCTCTTGCAGGGATTCTGCTTCCGATGTTCTTGCAGAATTCTTTCATTGTTTAGCTACTTTCTTTTCTAACTTGGTCGGTGTGCTTTCTGTAAATACCACTATGCACTTATATCCTTTATTAGGTGCTTGAATACTTAGTAAATTCAGTTCGTGTTCCATTTTGACAATAGGAGGCAGGTCCCATTTTGAAATGGAGCAGTAAATAGAATTACCCTAAGAAAACCATTATTATTCAGCTGCAACTAAAGAAGTGACTTTTAGGTATCAGACATAGCTCCAAAAATGAATCCTAAAGAAAATATTTTCAAAATGTGGTTTATGTACAAAATATTGGTAAGATTTAATTATGTGAGAAACTTGAAGGCTAGTTAATTCCATTGCCAAGTTAAAGAAAGGATCTAGTTCCCAATTTATTAAAGGGGCCATTTTTAATAATTTTGAACTCAAATTAATGTATTTACTTGTAAATTTGAGGAAAATTTATTCTGCACTGAAAGAATAAATGCAGAGTATATTGGGAGAAGGCAGACTTAAATCTTCATATATAATAGAGTGGCTCAATTCCATTTTTAAGTCCAAATGTGATTAAGTTTAGACAAGGCCAAGTCAAAAGTAGTCTGCCCTGTAGTGTACAGTAGAATTAAGATCCTTATTACATGTTATCAGTTTTTGTGCATCTCTCTCATGTGTTTTGCGATGTAGTAATTATAGGATTTTAAACATTTTGCAATTTAAATGCTGAAAAAAATAAGAAGGGAAGATATCCAAAGGGCTACTATTTGATTTTTCTTCATAAAACTTCTTTCTCGTGTGACAGTTCCCTGTTGATTAAAAAAGCAGAATATATAGTAGATTTCTATTTAAAAGAAAAATGAGCTGAATACATAGTTAATACTTAATTATGTCAGTGGCCAACTAAAAGTAGTAACACAATTTGTTGTTTGGCAGTTAAGTATTTAAATGTGTCTTTGAATAGTGATTAAAATATCAAAACATGGTTAAAGAGTGAGATGTATTATACACAGTCTAAAAATTTGCTGAACAATATGTTGCATAATAAATATTTTCCAAACACTCAAAGAAATATTCCTATTTTTCATTAACCAAAATGACTAGTGTTTAATTTTTTTTTCCTGCACTTACAACCAAGAAGTAAGCAATCCCTGTGTCATTACGAGAGACTACAAAACACATTCCAAGTTATCCAGAAAATGAAAAGGTCCAGCTTTTACATGGTGTTAATGATTGTGGATATGTAGAACTCAGCTGCAGCTAATTTTCATTTTAAATGCTGTTTTTGGAGATTGAGTAATTCAAAGGATAGCCTGAACTGGAATTTGATTTCAAGTAGCTTCAAGGGTAGTTAAATGAAGCACATTTAAGAAATATTAAGTCTTTGTATAAATATATTTTATTGTTTTTAATACAGGAGACATTCCACTGGATGTTAATATAAGAAAGACATGTGATACAGGCCAGCCAATTGTGGTCTCGGAACCTCAGAGTGATATGGTAAGTTTAGTAGTATACATTTAAAAAACCCCAAAAAGTGTGTGTGTGTGTGTGTTGGAGGGGGCATGGTTTTTCTTTTGTGTTAAGAAAGGAAGCCTACTTGTTGTCATAATATAGAGAAATAAAATAATACCATATAACATAATGTAAGGAAATAACTACCTACCTCAGAGTAAAAGCATGCAGGTTATCCTTTCTGAATTTTTCTCTGTGTGTGCATATGTTTTGTTTAATTAATCTGAACTGTAATCCAAGTAAAAAGATTCAGTCCATCCTTGCATCTCAAGCAAAGGAGGGTCAGTGTCAGGCCAAATAAGACTGACCTACTAATGTACGTCTTCTAAAGCTGCCAGTTGATCCTTTGCTAGTTGACCCTAGAAAAGGTCAAAGAAAATGTTTAATTTTATCAAAAGATATTTGGAATGTGAACCTGCATAATGTCAGTACCCAGGAGGTTGGCAGAAGGAAGTGAACAGATTTACGTGAGAGGAAATGACATTTTTCTGTGCATTTACAATAATATTTTACTGAGAGGGAAGCATGAATTGTTGGGGAAATGGGGAAAAAAAAACAGACTTGTGATTCGAGGGATGAAGTTTATTTCCTAATGCACAAACTACCATAATAAACATGATTAATTATAATAGCAGTTTGCGGTAGAATTATTGGAGGTGGAGGTAAAAACTACAAATTGGGTGTCTCTGTATCATTGCTAGACACACATGGTAAAACTACTCGCCTCTTTCCACTTCTCTACTATATAAACAGAATTGATGATCGGTGTGTTAACAAGAACTTGAAAATTGCCAATACTTCAGTTTGCTTTGAGAGACAACTTGGAGCAGAATGGTTCTAACATACATCCATTTTACAAACTGGATGTAACATACTCAGTTTCTGATGAGACCCATGCCCCAAGTGATGACAGCTAGTTGTTGCCTGTGAAAGTAATTGGTAATCTTGGTCATAGTAAAAGAGGTACTAGCATAACTGATGCTGTAATTTACATTTTGTTGGCAGTTTTGTCAATAGTGCTGAGAATTCAATGATCATGTATACTACATCATCATCTCACCTTCTATTAATGTATATTTATTTCAGGTTATAGTTGTCTTGGCAATATAGGGAAGGCTCCACATTCACTGATCTATATCATGGCATATCTAACATGTGCATTACCTAAGCCTCAGCTTTTAGGGCCAGCTTGCAGCCTGGCACCTTTAACAAGCAGGAAATGGTTGTATTAAAAAAGTATTGTAGTAAAATTCTGCAGAGCTGCAACATGTTTGTTTCTAGGCTGGCTTCTTGAAACTGGTTTTGAAGCTGCAAAAGGGAAATAAGAGTAAGCCTTACATGGGACAAACCTGGGGAAAAAAGTGAACTTTAACAAATATTAAATCTTGGCAAAAGAAAAGTTTTAATATTCTTCCTAAATTCTTACTCTTAATATCCTTCCCAGTTCCATACTCTTTTTCCTATACTTTGTGAATAATAAGTTCCTTCACAAAGAATAAGTTTTAAAGAGTTACTAATCTCTATACAGCCTAAAATTGTTCCCCTCCAGCTTCTCATTGCAAACAGAGAGAAATTGAATGTGTCTGTCTTATTCCTTACCTAAAAATATGTAATTCATGGCAATAACTGATACTGAGAGAGGTCCTATAAGGTCAGATTCTGATCTTTAATGTACGGTACCTATCACCATATTTCTTAAATAAACTACAATTGTAGCTATTCATGAATGAACAATCACAGTTTTTCAGATAGAGGACAGTGTGCACTGAGCCATTGAAATTTATCTCTACTCTTGTCCTTAAATTTAGAAATATTTTTAAATAGTTTCTGCTATGTCTAGTGAGCATTTTTAAATGAAATAAGATATAGTACTGAAATAAAACATAACTGAATCAAATCATTGGGAATTGTGAGAATGACTTAAGTTCTCAGCAAGCCAGTATGCTAAACAAAGCTTACCTATCACACTTTTTAGGCTCTGTCAAGATTAAAATAAAGGTTATTTTAAAACCATGTTAGCCAAGAAATTTTTGCTTATACATTTGCCCCAGGATTCCCTTTGACCAGCTAACATGTTAACATACTGCTTGATCTGCCTATACTAGAATTTTAAACTCTGTAAGTGGAATCATATTGACTAATAAAAGTCCATTGGCTAAAATATTCAAAAGATATATTTCATCCTATTCTCAAAGTCACCTGAAATCTGATGAGTAAAAGATATCAAAGATTGAAACATTCCTTCAGCAATGACCCTGGAAGAAGAAAAGTCCTCATAATTATATAAAATTGACCCTCCCAAGCTTTCCTAGGGGGCCAGGTTTAGGGTTGTGCTGAGGCACAGAGTGCAATATGGCATATCTACATTTAGAAGGTTTGCCAGTGTAGTTAGTGGAGATGCCACTTTGTTGCAAAATTTCACTGAACAGAAGAAGCTGTAGCAGCAAAATAACTCTTTTGCTACTATAGCTGTGTCTACATTAGCTTTTTGCCAGCATAATTATAAAAATTGAATTATGACCTTTTTCACACTCCTGATCGACATAGATACTCTAGCTGTTTTGGGTTTGCCATGCTTGGTGGGGCATGGCTCCAGGCAGCGCTGTGCACGGGAGTGAGGAGCGCAGCCTGCCCAGCCGCCTCTTATCATGGAGGCTCCACATTGTGTGCCTGCAGCTCCCTCCCTCTCACAGGAAAGCCCTGCACTGGACTCTGCAGGGAAGCAGGGGACAGGGCTCCCTCCACTCTGGGCTGAGTCCAGGGCCCGGCGCAGCAGGGGGCAGGGAAGGCAGTGGGCTCCAGTGTGGGGCTTTCCCTGCTGCGAGTGCAGGAGCTGCAGGCATGCCATGGTAGAGGTGGCAGCAGGAGCAGGCAGAACCACAGGGACAGGGCTGGCTCCTGCTGTGTTCTGGGATCCTGGCACTGCAGCCAGGAACCAAGCAGTGTGGCGCAGCAGGGCCAGGTACCTCCCAGCAGTGCGCTGTTCCTGGCTGCGATGCCAGAACCACAGAACACAGCAGGAGGCAGCCCAGCCTCACGGTTCCCAGCTGGCTCCTGCTGCCGCTGGCCCTGACCCTTGGGCCCCCCGCAGCTCCCACCCGCTGCCACTTCCCCCCCGGCCCTGTCCCTGCTGCCTTTCCCTCACTGCTTTCTTTCCCTTCCCTCCTTACCCACCCTCATCACTCACCCGCCAGCCTGCCACTCCCCACCCGCAGCTCCAGCACCACACCAGTTGAGAACTGCGTGATGCTGGCTGGGCCTGGCTGGCTCTTTTTGCATGGTGATCCTCCCTGTCCTCCCCTGTGCATTCGTACCTGAATTTCCCTCTCCAGTGGAGGGAACAGCCCCAGGCTCCCAGGCCAGAAGTTTCCTCTAAGGCAAAAGCTTCTGGCTGGGAGTGGGGGGCCACCGGGTTCTGCTGCCGGCTTCCCCTGGATCTTGCTACCTCTGGCTCCTGTCATCTATGGCAGGCAGCCAGGGGCAGATAAATATACATTTAAAAAAAAAATGTTAGGAGCCCAGTGGGCTGGATAGAATGGCCTGGTGGGCTGGATGTGGCCTGTGGGCCATATTTTGCCCACCCCTGTGTTATACAGATGAGATGACTGGTATGAAAACCACAAACTTGTAAGAGGAGATCAGGCTGTTTTTTTTTTTTCACATTTAGCAAAGGAAAGTATTTTCTTTCCTCTCATATTAGGAAGCTTTCCTCTCATATTAGGAAGCCTGTGACTGGACAAAGGAAACACCCAGTGAATTATAAATAAGCATGAGACAACTATCCAGCACCCATATGGGAACAGCAGGAGGAACGAGCAGTTCAAAGGAGCTCTTCTTTAATTATATTGGAAGTACTGAGGAGTCTGTTATGAGATTATACTAACTGGACAGACTGGGTTGATTTATATATGAAAAGACTTCTTGGTAGGTTTTCGGAGCCCGTAAGAGGCGGAGAGGTGATGTATGTGACCAGAAAATGTTTAACCATCTTAACAGTTTATCTAAATTTTCTCCAAATTTATTTGTTTTTGAGGAAGCAAATAAAAGTATCAGGAATTTATATAAGTACGTATTAAATCCAGTTCTAAAACTATTACTTCTGAATTGTTATAGAGAATACAGGATTCTTCACTGATTATCTTACTCTTAAGGCCCTCCCTTCTATGGTTTTGGTATCCTGCATGTGATGCAGCAATAAGTCATAGTTAAGGAAGGCAGTCTACATGAGGGGGAAACGGGAGGCTTTCTCATTCTTCTTGAGAAAGTAGGGTAATTGGCTAGTTACCTCAGATAGCTGTACAAGAATGCCAGGATCCTGGAAAAGAAACAGGAAGAATTGGAAGTCTTCACACAGTCACAGATCTGTGACGTGATTGGAATAACAGACTTGGTGGGATAGGTTGCATGACTGGAGAACTGTCATGGATACCCATAAACTGTTTAGTAAGGACAGGCAGGGGAGAAGAGGAGGAGGAATTGTTCTTTATGTAAAATAGCTGTATGATTGCTCAGAGCTCCAGTATGAAACTGGAGATAGGTTTGTTGAAAATATTTGGGTTAGGGTCAGAGCAACAAGGATGATATCACAGTGGGTGTCTTTTATAGACCACCAGACCAAGAGAATGAGGTAGATGAGCTTTCTTCAAACAGCTAGCAGAATTTTCCCAATCATAGGCCCTGGTTCTCATGGGAGACTTCAGTCACCCTGACATCTGCTAGGAGGGCAATACAGCAGTGCACAGGCAATCCAGGAACTTTTTGGAGAGCATTGGAGACAACTTCCTGGTACAAGTGTTGGAGAGACCAACAAGGAGAGGTGCTCTTCCTGACCTACTGCTTACAAACAGGGAAGAATTTGTGCAGGATGTAGAAGTGGATGGCAGTTTGGGCAGCAGCAACTACAAGATGATTGAAGTCAGAATCTTGACGAAAGGAAGAAAAAGCAGCAAAGTAAGGACCTTGGACTTCAGAAAAGCAGACTTTGA